TAGCGGTTGGGACAGCTCGGGCAAAATGTTACTTGTTGTGCGCAAGTTTTAGTTTGCAATTTGGTGCCGAGATGGTGAAATGGGCTCGAGTCTGCTGGTATTTAGGGCGCGCAGACAGACAGCCATCGCGTAATTTTCACGCCCCTGTGCATGAAAATTGTTATTTTTCTCGTGTGCACATACTCCACACACGATCCCTCTCAACTTCTTTTTTTTTGCAAAACAAAAAGCGTACCCCTAACGGGCCACACTTTTCGCAAAAAAAAAAAACTATTAAAAAATCGAGGTCCGCACCGTTCGGCAGCAGGAGGCGCGCTGCGCGAAAGCTGAATCAAAACAAAACGAAGTTAAAAGAGAGGACGGGGCAGTGTATGGTTGCCGCGTCAGCAGAAGATAACACGCGGCGCGCTATCGAACGCGGCAGCCTCACCGTCGTAGATAGAACGCTGGAGGAAACGAAGGAGGAGTTGTTCAAAAGTTAGAAAATTGTGGAAGAGAGCCAGGCTAGCTGCAGCATGGCGATGGAGTTCGCGCGCGAGAAAGACGAGGAGCTCAAGTGGGAGCGGGCACGGCGGCGGCAGGTGTCTGCGTGGCTTCACCGCCCGGCTGCTGCTCGGGTGTGTCATGAGGCATGTGTTCTAGAGTGGGACCGCGCAAAGGTGTTGTGTTGTGTCCCACAGCAGGACACATCAGAGGACACACACGAGCGGCGCCCTCGCGCGTGCGCGTCAGGTGTTTTTAGGGAGCTTTCGGACCGTTCCGTGCAATTTTATTGGTCAGTCGATTTTCCATCAGGAAGATCCGAGGTCACTTTTTCAATTCTTTTCCTATGGGAAATTTGCTGCTTTGACACCCCTACCGGTACGAACACCGGGCGTAGCCTTGGTAGATGTACGGCATATCCACTGTGCTACAAGTCAGCGCTGGCCGTAGCATAGTGAATATGCTGTACAGAAAACTGCAGCCGCTACCTTCCTAGAGATTGCTTGAGTTATGCCGCCCGCAGCAGTGCATTCTGCAACCAATGCCATGGGGTCTCCAGTGTTGCGCAAACTGTTTCTGTCACCTCAAGAATGTGAGCTTGGTGCCAAACGATCAAGACTGCGAAAAGCACGAACAACACTACCAGTACCAGCCATCACACCTGTGGATTGACGCAAGTACTCCTCAGACCTTTCGCCAAGGGCACCATATGACGTTAGGCTGCCCACAATGGTGGCACGCAACGGTTACCCATGCGCGTCTGCGTACAGGGGTTCTTGGCGTGGCAGTGGCGGGTTCGGCACCAGAGAAAGCACTGGCGAGAGCTACGCCGAAGGCCGCGCCGGCCGGGACGAACGTCGTGGTTCTCGGCGGCAACGGTTTCGTTGGAAGGTAAGTCATTGGGCACAGTCATGAGGATTTACTCGTCATGAAGGTGCTTGTGGCACTGTACTGCGGTGGTGCGGTGTCTGCTGCTTGTGGCCCAATTCATGCTCTCCATTTAAACTGCCTTGTTTGTTTGTTCGGCGGCGATGCACTGGGCTCTCGTGCGAACAACGACGAACACGACTTCCAACACCTACAGCAAAGTCTGCGAACTTCTGGTCGAGGCCGGTGAGAGATTTTCCGCTGATGAGTTCGGGTTTTGAATCGTGGTGGGGGCATGTTCGGGAGAGATATCAGAGCTCGAGGATGACATGATTTGATTATGGTAGGGCTTCCTCGACAGAACGAGCGACTGTGTAAAGTCACGCCTCATCACTTTTCTATCCTTCTCGGGGGTTTTGCTTGGTGCCTTCGTATGCCCCCTGCCGATAGATTACACGGAGTTCATTTGTCGACACTTTCGCCGGGGTTGTGCACAAACGCAGTCGGTGACCGTAGAATGGATGACTGGGTCCGCGAAATGTTGTGGTCGTCCCTAAGGCAATCTTGGGTGTGAGAATATGTAGCCACAGGGGCGGTGGCACCATTGCGACCTGCTATACCCCCCCCCTCGTCCTGACACAGAAAATGTTTTACTGCCCTCGCCGTGCTTGGACAATGTGGCACATTACGTGTTTGGCAGGAGCAACCGTCACAAGCGTGAGCCGTAGTGGCTCCAAGCCCGACAAGTGGGCAGCAGGGCAGAGCTGGATGGACAAAGTGTCGTGGACGAAGGGAGACCCGACAGCCGGGGACCTATCTGCCGTCTTCAGCAAGGTAAGGAAAGGAAGCACGGCCTAACACCTTCCTCTCTTCCCCCTGCCAAGCTTTGTTACCCTCGGCGCAAGCCTGACCTAAACACCTCATCCCGCTCGCGCTGTGCTCCGTGTCCTTGGTGCGTCATACTATTTCATTGCGTTGTGTTGTCGACAAGGCGGC